AGAGAGAGAGAGAGAGACGTAGTGTGGATATATATTTCTATCTCCATATCAGCTGAAACCAACTGTTTCAAGGTCATCCCTGTTGTCCACATGCAGTTCCTATAGTCACCCACATTTGTCAACTACAAAGTAAAACCTGAAAGAACTATAAAAGCATTCTTGCAGAGAATAAAGATGGAATTAGATGTAAGGTTGGTACCTATTTTTAACATACATTAATTCAGCAACTCAAAGGTTTGCCTATAGTTTTACAAAATTAAAAACTAGTTCTCAAGGTCAAATGATCTAATAACCTCTAGGAGTAGCCAACATAGATGAACTGGTTGAATTCTTTCTAGCAGCCATTAATTACTTTTTTTCCTTAAATGACAGGAAAATACTGCAATAAATCTCTAAAAAATTTTTTATTAACCTGCATTTATGGATGTGTGTATTTTTTTATTTCACGCTGGTGAAATATTTTTCTCTTCCAATCCAAATAATTAAAATAAATGTAGTTTACATGCACTACCAAAGAATGCTACATCTGACCTTAACTCTATAAGACTGTATGATTTGCATTTTTGATTACATGTAATAAAACACTGAAATAAATTAGCTATTTATTTGATTATCTGTGGTGATCATGACAGTTGGCAAAATATAGCTGCTCTGTATACAGAAGAATATGTCAAGCTTTTACATGTAAAATAATATAAAATTTGTTTACCTCTGTAGGTTTGTAGCAATCTACAAGCGCTTCCTAGAAGTACAATAATAAAAGCATCAGTTATCTTTCATTCCTCTTTCATATATGTAAGAACTGGAAAATTCTGGATAGCTATCACATATTTTCTATGTCACTGGTTCTTATTCTTGTATACGCAAACAGGCTTCTTTCATGGGTATAAAAGTCAATCATCAATCAAAAGCACAGTACTTTGACCCATATTTTAGCAATGGTTTTCCTTTGTCACTCAAAATCATACCAAAGTATGACAAGTGGAGCACTTCCCATATTAAAGTGTATTACTTTCCTGACAAATGGAAACTGCCAGACAGACAATGACACATTCTCAGAAATCTATGTAGGTATGCCAGCAAATCACAGGAACGCTAATCTTCAAATCACAAATCATGGGTTGTTACAGACTTAATTTTACTCTTCTTCATTAAGTTTTACTAATCTGCCCTCCAAACATCATTGTATTAAAACTGTTCTAGGTTTGGGAGATCTTCCAAATCTCTTAAAATCGGACTAACTTGTAATTTGAGGGCTCTCTCCTCTTCATTAGCAGCATCAAGAAGATCATCAATATCAATTTCTACATCTGGCATCTCTTCTTCCTAGAAAAAGAGAAAGCTGGGTGAGAAATTCAACTGCATTTTAGCTATCTTATTCACTTTCTTTTTATCCAGCTTCAAAAATTGAATGGCAGTTCATTCTCTCTCTTGTACTCACAGACACCCTTTTAAGCCACTCGTCTGCCAGTTGGCACTGGCCCAGGTTAGACTTGTAGCCAGCTGGCCACTCCAGTGCATATAGAGGAGGAGCAGGTGCCTAGCCCAGAGTTTTTAAACAGTAACATGAGCTCTCTGTGCAGAGACCTGGGACATGCTATTTATCCCTTATTACTCCCCTGTCAATTAGGCCAAGAGCTGGAAATTTGCACTTGAGCTTTGTAAAGTAGATGTTGCACATTCAAACTTGTATTGCTGGAATCTCTCTTTTGTTTATCCTGAGGAAACCAAGAGCAGTTCTAGCTCTCCTGAAAGCTACACACCACTACTGCCAAGCAAATGCAATTGTGCAGATGGAAAGAAGACTGAAAGGAAGAATGGAAACCTACTTAGGAGAACAAACTGCCTCTCTCCCCTCCCCAAGATGACTTTGTTTCAGCTTCAGGAAAAATAAGTTACCTCCTATGTCTGCATTAGGTATAATCATGGTGGATGAGATCTTATGTGAAGCTAAGCTGCTCTTAAAATAGAATCATATAGAATGTGTAATCTAAGCACACGAAGAAGCAGATTCTATGATTCCATTATAGAAGTAGATGAAGCTGAGTGAGAAAAGCAGTGACAGATAATTATTTGGTTCACACACTGCCAAAACAAAGCCAAGAAAGCCAAATAAAACCTAGTTCCATAAAACTATAAATAAATAAATTTTTAAAAATTTCCAGGTTACCAACAATTCCTCAAGTTTGTGTCTTGAGAAATCATAATATTTCTCCATATTTGGGAGTGCTCCAAGAATGATTAGGACTATTCTGAAGTACAAAACCACCATGTGTGAACCAATTCTTAGATTGGTATGATTTCTCCATGGCTTCTAATTCTAACGGTTAATTTTTAACAAAACCCTTTTTAACATTACTCTGCTTTCAAGAACTAAGTACTGATATATCTTTTTTCCATCGAATGTTGATTCTAGCCCCTCCCTGATTCCCAAGTATCTCAGAAACTTGTCAGAAATATTTGTAGTGTGCTTCTTCTGAAGCTGATATGCCCAGGGGCTGACTTTCAAACACAAGTCAGTTCAATTTATAGCACATGAAAGGCTTTGAGAAAGCATGTAGTGAAGCTCATAGCCTAGAAGCAGTCCAAAAATAAATTAACACAATAAGGAGGATGCTTAATTTTTACGACATGTAGGGTCATAAAACAGCAACACCAATTTAACAGCAAGAAGGTCACTAGAAGTTGCTGTAGCCAAGACCACACTATCCATGCCACTGTATCATGATGCCTGATGTCTCTTGCCTTCTGACTCATTAATCAAGGGTCATTTTCTTAAAGAGCTGTCTACTGAATTCCAAAAGCTGCTGTAACAAAGAGATAACTGACTTTACCTGTCCTCAGACAGACTGGGTAAATACACTATATGTAAACATCTGTATTAGGAACCACCAACTGGGAACCTATCTTTACATCATGAAATAAATCACTACATCTCTCATTAGAAATGAATGTATGACTAGCCAGAAAGCAGCCATCATCTGCAAAACAAGAAGCTACGGTCCATTCTAGGAGCCTGGCACTGTTCAATATTGAATGTTGCAGTTCTACTCATGTAGTGTGCACTTCTACATTATGGTCTGTTTCAATCCTGCATCTGAGCTGAACACAGACATCCCTCTAGATCACCCTCTGATGTTGCATTTACTGTTTTAAAAAGATACAGAACTCATAAACATATTCTAGTAGGAGCCAGTTAAACAATCTAGCTATAAATTAACAGAAGACAGACATTTTCAAAGTTCTTGCTCCTGAGCAAACACTGTAATACTTATCAGCCAATCCACCGAGCCATGAGAAAAGTTCTGCTATGAATCCTGATTTTAAAAGTGACCATTTCTTTGCACTTCTGCAAAGAATCTACCAGGGCTGCATTATAACTTTGGTGGGCCCTAGGCACTCTTGTTTTCATGGGCCCCTCCCTCCATAAAAATAATATTAAAAATTACATTTCATATTTTATAGAAAAACAGAGAATAATAGATATGTATTATTTTGTAATAATTATCAGTTGTTGCTGATTAATTATGTTGTCTGTTGCATATCATAAAAGTTACTAAATTTCAGTATTCATGCTACACCTACAGGTTACAAATAAGATTACTGGTTTGACGTTCAAATGTTGTGTGATTCTTGCCTGTGTTTTATTAAAAGGCATGAAAATAAATAACCCCTACTTATTTTTATTATTTCTGATTTTATATAATTAAAACATTTTCACAACCGTCAGGCAGTGTGCATGTTGTGGCCTAATGGATATGTCAGTCCTGGTAACTACAACCAATTCACGACTGGACATGTGCAGTTCCGATTACTAGGTCTTCACAGTGCTTTGGTACTGAAGGCAGAAAAATGCTTCAGAGTACATAGGACGCAAACGTAATGCTAGTTTGCAACTCCTAAAAGCAGCCATGCCTTTTCCCAGGGCTGGGCAGCTGCCCTCCGTAGTTCCTGGTTTAAAACAATTCAAGACAGGTGCTATGTTCACACTCACACACACTTCCAAGCACCTTTGTGCATTTGAATCCGATGCATTGCACAGCCCTACCAGGTAAGTAGCTATATAATGAACTACTGTATTAAATGACTATAATATATCCTTCATGGGCTGTCTTTAAAGAAGACTCAAAGTTTCAACTGGCCCAAAATCTGGCAGCCCATCTGCTAACTGGGGAGCAGATTCAACAGCCCAACGCCTCTGCTGCAGTCACTACAGTAAATCGGTTACTAGTTTGGTTTGGGGTCCAATTCAAAATGATGGCTATCGCCTTGAAAGCCTTGCAAAGCTTGGTACCCAGATACCTCCAGCACTGTTTTCCCCACCCTTATTTGGCCTGCCCAATTCAATCTCTGGGGGAGGGGATGCTGGAGGCCCTCATTCCCCCCCCCCCCCCCCCCCCCC